CCTACTAGTCCCTTAAAAGTCCGGGTTTGGACCTGGTCCAAACTAGTTCCCCGTGGACCACTTAACATCCCTAATTTGCAGAACCCTAAATAATACATATTATGAGTATAGTATGCAAGTTTTATATACTCAAATGCGATTTTTGTATTATACTCTACTACTATTCGTAATACCGATTATTAATACATTTGGATCACACAAACATCATATCTAGTAATCAACGTACGTAATACAAATAACTTTATAAATCTGATGATAAATAAGAGTCCCAAATAAGTAACAAAAACAATGATATGTGATAGCATATACAGTACTAAATAAAGAAATGAAATAATAACAGTTATTGTTAACAAATGGACCTTTTTTTTTTTTCTGTGTAGTATGGAGGCGATGGAGAACCATCTTTTTTGCCGAATAGAGTAATGGAACATTTTTTCTTACATATAAAAAATTATTTTGTTTGTATTAGATAATCACAATTATTAATTATATATAATTGGATTTATAAAGTAGTAAAGTTTAATGTAAAAATTTTTTCAAATGAATCAATGAACTAAGCAGGTTGGATCACTAAAATGTCAACGATAAAATAATATAACACGGTAAAATTAAAACCTATAGATCGCGTCCAAAATTGTATATAATATAAAGGTATGGTGGTACAACATAGCTATCTAACTAAACTTTACAAATGATGTATCCGTCACGAGGGCTTGGCAGCAATTGATTTATAATTGTATAGAGTATTAAATATATGTATGTATTTTAGCTTTATTAAAGGGTATCAGACGACTTTACACATTATATTGGAAAGATCATGTGTAGCACACAAGATCAAACAATTCTATTGTTATTAATGAATGAAATTAAATTTTTTTGACAACTTAAATAAAATGTAGTTCATTTTATATGTATTCGAGTTCGCGATTTGTTTATCAAATTAATGTGCACACGAAATAAATCTTAAACCTTTATTTGTAATGAACCACACACGTAAATTATAATATTAAATATAACATTGAATATGTTTACAAATATGTTTACAAAAAGTATTAAGTATATTTAAAATCTTTAATTAAACCTAATTTATGATGATAATGTGATAATTAATGAGATAATTATTAACATATCATGTTTTTAAACGTATAACCTATTTTTTCCGAAGAGATGGTTTCATGTGAATTCTTTGATGACGATGAAGATTACTAACAACAGAAAAACAACGGCCACATCCTTCGAATGTGCATTTGAACGGTTTTATACCAGTATGAGTGTACATATGAGTTTTTAATTGACTTGGTCGGACGAAAAATTTTTGACAGACATCGCATTTGTACTTTCTTGGTTTAATAGTTGAATATTTTGAACTATAAGCATTTGCTGATGAGGATTGTGATTCGGGAACTGATTGTTGAATTTTAAGACTTTGTTTAACCGTCGATGATTTTGACGCTACACGATTGCTACTTCCTAAAGCTGGCGTTGAAAACTGTTCAATCATATTTGAATTCTCGAGTAATATTTCATTTGCGTAAGAGTAAATTCCATTTTGATTATAATTCATGAAATAAGGGAAATGGTTTGGCTGAATATTAATAGCGAGAGCATTTGAGTCAGATAGCACCATAGTAGTAGAATCTATAGAGTCTATTGAGAATATGGGAACATCTGATAAACAAAAATATATTTCAAAGTTAATTATATAATGAGTTAATTTAAAATAGAATTATGAAAATTTATGATAAAGAATACCATTAGGAATAAATGGCATTGGAAAAAACATAGTTGGAGCTGAAGAAATGGAATACTCTTCAAAATCGTTGAATCCTGATTCATTATCTCCATCAAAAAAAGAATTTTGTAATTTAGGAGGCATAGTTTTTTGCACTCTAAGATGGTGGATGTGAATAAGTATAGCTGTCAAAGAATTTTTAATTTAAATCTGAGAATTAAACCTGAGAAAATTTCATAGGCTTTTATTAGAAAAATCGTGTAACTTTGACTAAATGAAATCCTTTAATGGACGTGTCATTTATGCGATAGATACGTCATAAGCTTTGAGCCTTTCAAATTCTTTGCCGATATGTATATGTATCAAAAAAGTAGTACAAAATTCGCTTCAAAATCAAAAATATTCCAATTGTAAAGATTAATGAAGCTCCATATAGAGCAATTAAAAATAAACTACATTTCGATATCTTTTTCACATAAGGTTTCATCAAATGGTATATCTGTAGACGGAAGCAATGCACTTTTATAAAAACTTATTTTGAAAACTTGGCACAAATTTTATATCATATGTCAACAAAATTAGGAAACATTTATCCTTAATAACCATTATAATAATAATAATAATAATCCCTTTATCGAATACCTGACTAGGGTTAATGCACTGCAGGAGCACGTGATAATCAATCATCATTTAAGTTTTACTATATATACCAATTATACCATTGGTATAATACCAGTATAATACCTAGTATTGTATTATACACACGGCTTATACTATGTTATACGTTCGGTATTATACCTGGTATTATACACCCTTTTTTATTATACCGGTATAATTAAAACCCTAATTTTACACAAACGCGTAAGCATGCATGTTATCGTTACATTAAGAGACACGCGTGCAGGCGGACAAATAATTTAGCACATTTACAGTAGATCTTTAGAATTCTAGAAAAAAACACGTAAAATATGGCGTAAGAGTTATACTGTAGCTGTATAGCTAATAATAAAACTTTTTTGAACGAAATATAGTATAGATACGTAGCACCTTAATACAATGATGGCAAATGACAAAGTCATTATGAAAAATGAACATAAATGATTTGTCATTTTAAATTATTAATGTTATTTATTATTAAAAAATTTTTATGCCAAAATATTTATTATTAAAAAAATTTTATGCAAGATCACGGCAAAATGATAATAAAAAATAGGTTTATAAATGACATTAAAATAATACTTTGTATCCCAGAATAGAATCTTGCTAGATTTAAAATCAACTTAAGTTGGTTTTAAGTACATTTAAGTTGAAATGAAAACTCACATCAACTTAAAGCTAATTTTAAATCTACATGTTTAATCTTAAATTAAAAGCATTTTAATTCAGTTTAAACAGCATACTATTTATTACAAACATGCTTATTGGAATGATAACAAGATAAGTTTACTGTTTACATTTGTAGTGATTTATATTACCTATTTGTGACAAGAATTGTGCTTATAAAACTTTTTACATGCCATATACTGTAGCTTTTTTAATCTATATTATAGAAACATTTGTATGTATATAAATTATTGAAAATCGAAATGAAGAACGCGTATTTACAGTTTGAAATCACTATATATATTCATAGCTTGTCTTTTCTTCGTGCTGAGGCTTATAAGGAGCTTATTAATTCTTTTTTATATATACTTTATGTTCTTTGTAAGGTAAAATAAATACAATTCTTACATAAAACTTACAAACAAAATTTTCACTTACTATATGATTTTAACATTCCTCAAATATGCACCAATATATTCATTAGGTTTATGGGACGGTTAACTTATTTTGTGAAAAAATGAAATATCTTGAAAGTTATACGAATTACAATGAACTCTTATTAGATATAAATAGATTTGTTATGAAATGATTAAGCTGTAATTTTAAGTTACATAAATTATTTATGACTGGAGAA